CCATTTGCTCTTTTAAAGTATGTGTATCATATCTTTAAGAAAAATTATAATTTAATTATCAAAAATTCATTCCAATGTACTCGCGTAGAGAAACAACATTGTCCATCACAGTGCTGTATCGTTTACACGTAATTCGCGTTGAACTCTGCCGTACAGAGAAACCCGCTCGCGCAAAATTCATACCTAAGAGGTTAAACGCCAACTACTAACGTCGCGAAAAACGTTTGGGGATTCAGATGGAAAGGTATGATATAACGATCCTTGAAATTGTACGTTGTGAAAATTGTAACGTTTCTACCCAATCAGATTCAAAAGGTGAGTCGCTCAACCCCTCAAGCGTTTATATCGAGTCATGAAAAGATGGAATTTTTTTGTTTATTGTCGAGTATATACTCGTCATGTAGGGAAAAAATTCGCCTTTGCTGTTTATTGTAAAATTTCAGCACATTTCAGGATATTTCAGGGCAACTAAACAAACAAAGAAAATATGCACATTGAGAATAATATGGGGGAAACAAATTAAATTTATCTCTAATCATTCTATTTCTGCGAATATTTGATCTTTTTACTTCTCTTCGTCGAATTGATGATAATCCAAGCTCTTTCCTCGAGCATTTTAAATTTTTTTAATGGAATGATTTTCAAAAAATAAAATGTCAAGTCCTGTAAATACCGTAAATGCCAATTAAAAATCGTTCAAAGAAGCAGTAACAAAAAAAAAAAAAAATTATCGTTTGTTATAATTTAACTCGATCTTTAACTCAATCTACTGTGTTTTTCGTCGAATATACTCATCGCCTAGAATTAATTAACCACACCAGTGCATATTCTCAAAATAAAACAAAACGCTCACGAGGTTAATTGCTTTACGAGCAAGGTCATCTAAAAACGGTGAAATTAAAGTATCATAGAATATTCGATTGATGCTAAACCAATCTTGACCTACGGAAACATTCAAAGGCAATGTCTAACAGAGATATAAGCTAAGCCATAATTCATAGCTCGAGAATGTTCAATATTGTTGCTCTAACAACTGTAATTGGGGACAAAATCATAAAAAGAGAGAACCTTCGAGAAGAGAGGGGTGGGGCACGAGTTTCCAAGGAAAGTTGAAGAAACGGGCGCAGAATTTCGCTCGACCCTTGCGATACTTGCTCGACTCGATTGTCTCGAGAGCGAACAGATGTCGGCGAGAAAAGAACAGCACGCTTATGCAAACGTGCCGGTTCCGAGAGCCGTTTGCGGATTCTCACAAACTCTCTTCTCGCGCTGATTATCAATTATTAAAAACACGTGGCCTCGCCATCTTTCGTTCCGCGAACCACCATCCCCGATGGCCGTCGCGTGTTCCAACGTCCAACTCCCACGAACTCGATCGAAGAATACTATCATTGATTCTAACAGCGGAGTCGCGCGATTTAACTCTTCGCGCCGAAGAGGACGAGTGTATCGTTACCGACGATCAACACACACACACACACACATTCGTCGAGAGTCGAGAGAGGAGAGACATAATGCGGCGGCTGTTTAATTATGCCATTATATTTTCCATCTGCAGCGACGTATAATATCATATCTCTCAGACTCTCGACTCGAAAATTCCCCTTTTACATTTGGATGGCCGTCATGCGCCTCGTAATATGCCGATAACTCTGCAAACTGCGCAGAATTATCGTGCGTTATTCGATGCACGACCAGCCGCGATAACTATCGCAAATGTTTCAACCTCTTATGCCCGCGTGACGGACGTGCAAATCGAGTAACGGTACGTCGCATCTTGCACATATGTGCGCGACCACGTATGTGAAAAATCGACGACCTTGATTTCTCAAGGCTCGAGAATCGTCTACCTTTAGAAATTCCGTCGGTTTAGGTTAGGTTTACGTTTGAATCGCCGTCTGGAAGTTCCAAAAATATCTCAGTACTTCAATTTGCAACTTCCTTAGCACACTAGAATCACCAAAGTGATCAAAATGACCATTTTATTAATTTCTTTATGGAAATATTATACATCTATAACAGTATATTTTTAGATATTCGAGTAATTCTTTATAGAAATTTTATACATTTATAACAGTATATTTTTAGGTATTTGAGTGATTTTTAATAAAATATATTAATAGAAGTTTGTGTTCTTTATTATATTATTAAGTTTATCTTGTATCTCTTCCTACGAATAGAATCAAGTCTCTTGCAATATTTTAAATAACATTGTATCAATAAAGTTTCTTAAGATAATTAATAGTGACCGAAATTATAAATGACCAATTTATAATCTTTCTATAGAAATTTTACACATTCATAACAGCATATTTTCGGATCAGTCGAGTGATTTTTTTAATAAAATATATTGCTACGAAATTACCTAGATGACTAAAGCATAATTTATACTTTATTTTATATACAGAATAGTGTACATATATATATATATATATATATATAAAATAAATAAAATATATATTATATCTAGATAGTTCTAGTGTCAAGTTCGTAGCGATTTCTTCACGAAATGTGAGATCGCCATATGGGAAACATGTCGATGGGCGATTGGACGCGATTGAAATTTTCACAAAGAGCAAACACTCGTATTTCCCATCGTTGTGGGACACACGCGACGAAACACGCGCGCGCAGTGGACATATGCGCTTCTCTCTAAAGTTGAGCAATAACGGTAATTGCGTTATTAAGATCGGGGGGTGAACGATTCCCGGGGAGCGGGAACTCGACTGACGAGAGAATCCTGGACTCAACGAAGCGGACGCTTGACCCCAGAGCGTTGTGGCCAAGTGGAGAGAAAGGACGTAAGTATGGTCGGCGGATACGGAGTGGACGCGTTATACGTCATTAGACTCGGACAGGGTGGTTTTCATGAAGTATCCGTGGGTGTCAGGGAATCGCCAGATGGCCGTCTACTGGCAAACAGCAACGATACCCTTGGTAAATGAACCGCTTTCTCTCTGAAATTCGTCCGATGTTCGTTAACGGGCAGACGTTTGTTTCGTCTTGAGACTGACGACGAAACCATTTCCCATTTGCCCCCCCTTGCCGCCCCCTCTTTCTACCCTCTGCCGAGATTATTTTATCATACGAGAACCCTCCTCTGCCTTCTGCTCCCAGCTCATTATAGTGACTATTATTTTCGTAATTTAATTCTGAAATTATTTAGTAATTTAATTTTTAAAT